ACCAGCTGCACACATCACACATTTCAGCCACGACAACCCCTCCTGGGTAGGGACCTCACTAGCCAGACCAAAGATGGGTTTTCAGTGGTATTTATACTGTGGCAATGGTATACTTGTGCAGAGAGCTCGAGAAGGGCCATACAAGAGTCTCAAACAAAGGGTGACTAAAATGTCACATGTTTAACTGGAACACAGTTGCCAGCCAACTACCAACAACCCTTTTTAATTACTGCTTTTCTTTGGGGTGGGGCACAAGCGCTACACTTCCTCCCCACTAATAAAGTGGTGGAGGGAAAAGCCTTGCTCCTGCCTGTGTTATAAAAATAAACATGACTTCCCCAAAGGAAGCTGTTTCAGGTGTGTGAGAGGGTCACATCTTTATGTCATCTGTTTGTGCAGCATCTAGTGAAATGAGCCCACGCCACAACTCCCGTGTGTTACTGCAACACCAGCAAGAAAAGCCGCTTCTTCAAGAGAATAAGAGCTGCAGGTTACTTCCTTGTGGAGATAAGCATTTTGAAAACCCCTCAGTTATAGGAGAGGCAACATCTGCTTGCTGGAAAAAGCCCCAAGTGAACTGCAAACCTCACAAGCTTTGCAGGTGTCAGGGCCTTGCTGAACTCAGCCTCACTGGAGTATACAAGCAACTCTTTTCTGCAGCTGAAGCAAATGCAGGCAGTTTGCTTTTGTGATTGTGAAACACTGCAAATTCATGATTTTTTTTTTTTTTTTGCCTTTCACAAAGCCCAGGTCTATAGTCAGAGGATTATTCTCACGCTTCATTAAAAAAAATGGTATGACTGTAGTTGCAGAGACAAATATGGTTTACGTTCATTCCTCACCAGTTAAAGATTCAGAAGGGAAATAAGGACCTGTCACTTACTCGCGTGTGAGCACATGATCAGTTCTGAAATGCTTTCTGCATGGTTTTGTGGTGTGTTTGTTTAGTGGTGGTGGTTGTGTGTCTTTTTATGCTTTAGGTGGATGCAGCTGTGAAATTCTCTTAGGATTTCCAGCTGTACCCAAGAAGAGAGAGATGTACTTGCTCCTTATTGCAGCACTAGAGCACTTCAGAATCTAAATGCCCCTTTATCGCCCACACTTGCACACCTCCACAGACACCTGAGGATCAAGGTAATTAGCTACTCTCGTTAAACGCACAGATTTCTCCAGCAGCGTCTTTTATACGGGCTCTGGAGCCATGCGTGGCACTGCCAAAATCAAATGCCCAGACGCTTGGAAACCTTACCTCGTTCGTCCCTCCCTGGGCGGCATACGTGAACGTGCAGGTGTAATCTCCCTTGAAAAGAGAAGGCGAGGATCAGCACTCTCTCACAGCAGGATGAGCTATTTGTTGAGCCTCAGCAATTTGCCTGGCCGCGCGCAGCGTCTCTATATCTTGGAAAGGCACTGACGGGATTTCTGGCAAGTCCCGACACTTGAACTGTTTCTCTGCAAGCTCGAGAGGATGCAAAGCACTAACAGTCGCTGTCCCCACGTCCCCGGAGCACGTTGCCTCTGCTGGCTGCCTGCACCCACAATAACAGGCAACATAGCAGCTTGCTCCCAAGCTCAGGGGCTGTCAGCCACGAGAACACCCAACGAAGGCATCCCCCGGCCCTGCCCTGATCTCAAGCACACTTCCAGAGGGCGGTTCGGTTCGTCCCTCACAGGGGCAGGACAAGGGGTGTCACAGGAGATGCCTGCCCTGTCTGTGTATGCAGAGAGGTTTGTAGGGCACTGTCCCTGCCCAGCTGGGTCTGCCTCACGGGGTGACAGAGCCCCTGCACTGACACCCCCCCCGCCGCAGGGGGCGCTGAAGGGCCGGGAGGGCGCGGTCTCGACGGCAGCCCCGCCCCTCTCCCCTGTCTCCCCACCCCGGCCCCGCCCTCTGGCTCGCAGCCAACCCGAGTGCCAGGAGGAGCGGCTCAGCCAATCCGCGCGCGCCGTGTCTACAGCAGCCTCACCAGGGTCCGCGAGAAAGAATGCACCATGCCGCCGGGCCTCACGTCGAACTCGGCCGTGCTGGACCCCTCCTCCGCCCCGCCGAGCACGAGCGGGAGGACGGCGGCGAGCAGCGCGAACCAGAGCCGCCCGCAACTCCCTCCGCTGGGCGCCGCCATCTTGGACAGAAAGCCTCCCTACGGCACGCCGGAGGGGTCAATCCGAAACGCTGCTGAGCCGGACCGCGGGAAGGGGCGGGGCTGCTTTGGCGGCCATCTTGGAGACGGGCAGCGAGTCCAGCGTGCCAGGGTTAACCCTTTCGAGACCACACCTGGAACCAGGGGCCTGGCAGCTCTTCCAATCAGGGAGCAGCAAGGTGGGGGGGGGGGGGGGCAATTAAAGTCATGGCTCATTAAATTTTGGCAAGTGGGAAGTTAAATTCATGGCTCACAAACTCCCCTTGACATAGGTGACACAGGAAGATGCACTGCGCCGTCTGCACCCCTTTGCCCAAATCCTAGATCCTCTTGCACTGCCACGATGCACGCTTCATGCCACCACCGCCATTTACATCACAGAGGGGCCAAGGATTTGGCCCCCGGAGCCGCCCCCAGTGCTGACCTCCACCAGTTAGGGGAGGGCAAACTGGGCAACCACGCTTTATCAAAATAAAAATGAACGACACTGAATAGTTGTATTGTCAATATGGTATTAAGATCCTTTCATTGCAGTTTCATGCAGAGGGCAAAGTGCAATTGAAATAAAAAATGTCCAACTTGCTTATAGATCATCCAAATTAAGCCTCCCCAAATGACTCCCTTGCCCAGGGCCCTGACAACCCAAAGGCCACCACTGCCTCCATACATGGCCAAGCTGAGACCCTCCTCCCTGCATGCCTGGCCCAGCCCATCTGGGATGGGCACCGCAAGCAGGATGGACCCATGCGTTAGGGTTAGCAGAGTCCTTGACCGGGCAGAGGAGACTTGGATCCAGCCTGGGAGGGGGAGGGAGCTGTCTGTGGATCCCCTGCATGCCAGACCTGGCACCTGCTCTGGCCACACACTGTCCTGATGGGTGGCAGTGGGGGTGGGGTGGCCTGTGGGGCTGGTCCGGCCCAGGGTCCAGTCCCACCCCACTCCTCTGGCCTCTGGGACAGATCCCTGACATAGCAGATGCCTACTGCTATGTGTAATAACAGCATTTGAGGTGCTGATGGACTACACAGGTCCTTTCCCCCACTGGAGGTCAATGCACTGGCTGGACAGCATCTGACACCCTGCTCATTCCCTGCAATGTGTCTGGAGGTTTTCAGTCTCCAGGGCTGTCGAGCAGGCCAGCCCCTTCCAGCAGCAGTAAATCCTCAAAGCGATTTTGGAAGAAAGCGGGGTCAAGGGAAGCAATCTATCGGGTCATCGCAGCCATCAGGCCTGGGCTGCAGGCATGCTGCATTAGCTACAAAAAGCAAGGTCCAGCTGCTCACCACTGCTGGGGCTGCCGTTAGTCAGGACTCCTGTGTCTTAGCACCAAAATCAATCTCCTGAACGTACCTGAACCTAGCTGTGAAATGCTTGATTTATACCGTGCCTCCAGCTCATGAAGGCACAGAGAGGGGAAATAAAGCTGGAGGAGCACCGGTTCTCTCATAAATCTCCAGAGGCTTAGCTTGAAGGATGCCAGACGAGCCCAGTGCTGTGCTGCAAAGCAAATTGCCCAACTGGCCGTCCCAGGCTGCAGGTGGCTGTGCTGCAGCATCCTGGGACTAGATGAGCTGTGGTTGCAAAAAAGGTGCAGAGAGAAGAGCTCAGGATCCCCTCGCCCTTCGCGTGTGGAGGCACTTGCAAAACCTGGCTGAGATATCCAGATGGTGGCAATTTGCAAGAGCAGGGGGGCTGCAGAGGGAGACCTCAGGATGACCTAGTGTGTGGGGTCTTTTGGGGGCTGCCTATTAGTAGACCTCCCTGGGCCCAGATCTATAGCTCCCCTCACTCCCCTGAGCTCCTCCAGCCTTCCATGTCCTAGGAAGCTTTGCTCCTTGGGCCCAAAATAGGCTGAAAGTTGTCCCTTTTGCCTACACAGACCCCCCACTTGCTTCTGAGGATCAGGTGAAGATTACAGCCTTTCCCACAGACACCAGCTTTTGGGAACTCAGCACAACATTGCAGCGGTAGTGAAAACTGATGAGGCAGCGGTGTGCAAGCTCAAACTTTTTTCCACATGGGCTCAAAGTGTTTCAGACCCACGCAGAGTCTCCAAACCCATGCTGAGGGTGTAGTCAATGTTAGGCTGTGATACGGAAAGAGGCATAAGGAGGGGGAGGTCACACAGCAGCTTGGGAAAGTGCGAGTGTGCAGTTCTTCTGCCTCGCACTTGAAACCACTTGATAACACTCCTCCTCTACCTTCCTGCCAGAAGTACTTTTTTATACACCATGTAGTTAACTTGTGGAACTCATGGCCACAGGAGGGAGTGGAGGCAGATGCTACAAGCCAGGTTCAAAAAGGGGCTGGATCAGTGAATGGATGATCGATCTATTAATGGCTATGGAACAGAACGGCTGGAGATGTTTCCTCCAGTGTCTGTCCCCCAATATTGGGAGATGCCAAGGAGGAAAGATCAGATGTCCGGTTCAGTGCTCTCTCTTTACAGCATCCATTCTGCCACTGTTGGACACAGGGTAGTGGGCTAGATGGACCATTGGTCTGAGCCAGTATGTCACGGCTTATATTCTTATGTTGTAGGAAGGCAGGGGTCTAGAAGTTGTCATTGCCTTTTGCTACAGCTCTCTGAGGGACTCCCTGTCTGAATGCAGGGCACCCAGGCTCTGCCGACTGTATCCCCACCAGCATGCTTGGCTCTGTAAGCACACTGCTCTCCACGAATGACCTTTGGGGGGCAGAAAGCAAGTCAACGTACAGTGCACAGACAGGGCAAAAATAAGGCAGGAGCAGGTCCCCAGTGCTTTCCCCTCATTCTCCTTAGCTTGGCTGCCACCCGATCTGGAACAGTTTCGGCCGGCTTCGGAGCACGAGCTACAAAGGCTGAAGGAAATGCCAGGCTTGTCGTACACAGAGAGCTCCTGTGGAGAAGCCTCTTTAATCTTGTTTCCGCCCAACAAAGAGCTCGCTTTGCACAGTTATCTTGGGAAGGCGTTAGGCAGAGAACACCCCATATCACTCGGTGCGGACGGGACACCGCGCATCCCGATTAGAAGAGCAGTTTGCTACACGACTTAATTGCTACTAAAGGCAGGTGAAATTTGAACCTGTGGCAACAAAGAAACTGCCCCGAAATCCTGGCTGGGGGCCCAAAGGAGTGGTGTTCGGAGGAGAAAAGTCCAGACTTGAAGGCAATCAAGGGGAAAGGACCCCGGTGGGATGAACGCTGTTCTAGCATAGAGGCCCCTTGGCGGGTCCGAGGGGTTACAAGATCGGAAAGCTGGCTTGATTGGCAACCCCGCAGTGGTTGTCTCCTTTCCACAGCCGCATGTAGCCTTGTTCACCCCAGCCCTCAGACCAACTGTGGGAAGAGAAGGAGAAGAGTGAGCATGTTGCTGTGCGGCAACACAGGGGAGCAAGGCAGGGGGCTGTAGGACGTGCCCCCCTTGTCATGAGAAGGGTCTGCGGCACAGAAGCTCCCTAACAAGCAAATGGCTGCACTGAGCAGCTGAGAGAGAGCTGGTGTTGAGACCCCCATGCCCTCCCAGCAAGGAACCAGGCACTTCTTTATGGCCGTGCTCTGGCTTCCCATCTCCCTCTGATCGCTGCATCTTGGCAGCTGCAGCCAGGCTGCCTCCCCGAACGTGCCTCCATCTGCTAACAAGCTCAGCCAGCTGAAAGGAGCAGCCCTGAAGTATCACACTGGGCTACCAAGGCAGAAGGAGGCTTGCTCAGCTCTTGCTCCCAGCCCTCGGTGACAGGACAGGAGGAAGACGCCCTGGGAGGTGGAGCGCAGGTTTGTGTCTGCACAGTCCGCCCTGCAAGGGAAGGGGGTACTGGGCCGGATGCGGGCAGGGGTGACAGATGGATGCACAGCCACATCCCCAAAGGTGCTTTCTCTCCTGGCCGTTCCCCACCCCGTCACCTGTTCTTTAGGATCCAGTAGTCCTTGCTTTTCCCATCCTTCTGGGTCGTGCCGTAGCCAACAGCAAGCATCGCATGGCTCACTGTCTGGCTGCAGTGACTGTCATTGAAGACTCCTGGAATGAGCAAAGCTGAATCAGAGCCGAGGTGCATTAGCAGGGACAGGGCAGCTCCCACCAGCACTGCTGGCCCTGCGGTTCGGGAGAGGGGTCCTGGCAGGGCACTGGAGAGAGAATCTGCCCTGGCGCGGTGGGCTGAACCCCCGGGCACAGCACAGAGGGGCAAAGCCTCTGCCCTCACAGGCTACTGTAAAATGAAACAGGGTGTGAGAGAGCAGACACAGCCCCGGGCCCCTGCACCCCAATCTGGGAGAGCTTCATTTAGGGGCCCCCGGCCCAAGCGCCTGGTACCTTTCCGATAGAAGTGAAACTTAAAGTTGCTAGCATCCACCGCCACCGAGACTGGGCCCACGGTAGCCACCGCCTGTTCCAGGGCTGCCTCGCTGCCCTGCTTGACCAGCTGGAAGGAGGTGCAGTTGGCCGCTTTGTCCTGGGTGTTGTAGCGGCAGTGGGAGTTGTCCTGCGGGGGCGCGATGCAGAATGGGTGCTCAAGCCCTGCTCCCGCTGCCCGGCCACCCAGCTGTCCCCCCTCTCCTTCGTTACCTGTCCCAGGTAGGGGTAGATGTGCTCCGAGTTGATGCCCCCATTGTCATGCACGTACTGGAAGGCCCTTGTGATGTACCCCCCATGGCAGCCGCTGTTCCCCAGCTTCCAGGAGCAGTCCATGAGGTTCTGCTCACTCAGCTGCACCAGCTTGCCTGTCTTGTTGAAGACCAAGCCCTCCAGGGCCCCAGTGGCACTGAAAGCCCAGCATGACCCACATAAGCCCTGAGGAAGACAAAGAAAGGGGATTCTAGCTCAGTCCCAGATTGCAGAAAGCCCCGGTGGGGCTCAATGGCCCTGGGAGATGCAGGTGGTCAGGCCATGTAATTGCAGTGGGTCCCCTGGCATTACAGAGAGGCTGAGACCTACCCGGGACCTGGGCAGCACATGCACTGTGCAGGACACCTCTCCCCACACCCCAGCTGCTCTGCTTGGCTGCCCATCGCTGGGGAAGAACCACAATTGACATGGCTGGGGCCTGCTCCCTGTTGTAACAGCTTTAAAGCAGACGGGGACGGGGGGAAAGAAACGTGTACCCTCAGCCAAGCCATCCCCACCAGAGGGAGGTGGCAACAGGGAAACGACTGCACCCAGTTCCTCCCAGTTGGGTCTGGATTGCACCCACACTGCAGGCTGAGGCCTTTGGTGTTTGAATGGGGTCACCTGAACCTGGGCAGGACCCGGAGCTGTGATCAGGTGCAGGCCCCCAGCATCCCCAAGGCCCCTTCCCTGGAACATCATGAGCAGCAGCAGACCCTGGGGCTGGGTATCGGGTCCACTCTGAATTCCCAGCCCTGGAGCTGCATCCTCGACCCACCTGGTTCTTCACGGGGGTGACATAGCCCTTCGCTCGCCAGTCCACCTCTTTCGGGGTCACAGGAGAAGCCGGTTCCTGGAAGAGGAACTCCATCCCACGGGGCTGCTGGGCGGTGTCGGGAATGAAGCCGTTCAGAACCTGGTTGAACTCTTCATCCGTCTGCAGGGGAAGGAGACGTCTTGAGAAAATGTGACCACCTGAGCCCCCCGGCCTGCAGACCTGGGTTTCCCCAGCGGATCCTAAACGTCAGCTGCGTGGGAAGCCAGGAGGGGCGGGAGGGATGGAGGAAGTGAGTGCTGGGGATGGGAAGCTGGTCCCTGCAGGGCCCCTCGGCGTTGGGGTGAAGGAGGAGGATGTGGTCATGCTGCCGTTGAAGGGAGAAGAGTCTCTGTGGCATGCCGGGGAAGAGGGGGGCCATGGTGCTGGGATTTTGAGGGCTGAAAGAGGAGGATGGGGAGGAGATGGGAGAAGGGAAGAGGGTTGCAGACAGCCAGGGAGGCACCTCGCTCTCCCATCCACCCCCACAAGCCAAGCGAGGCCAAGACAGGGCACGTACCAGGTCCCCAAAGTGGTTCATTTCCAGGTGGTAGCTGTGCTTCCCCTGAGATGCCTCCAGGTTGTGCTGCTTGATCCGCTGCAGGTTCTTCACCCAGGTCTCCTTCCGGAAACCTTCATCCTCCTGCCAAGGGACAAAGAGTGGTTACAGTCGGCCAGGCTCCCGGTCTGGAAGCAAAGGAGCTGGGCAGGGGAAACTCAGGGGACAGGTCTGATGAGATGGGCCTGAGTCAGGGAAGCTGAGGTGCTGGGGCTGCACAGAGGCGGGATACTGAATTGAAACAGCAGAAGGGACCCTGCTCTGCAGGCGTGTGCATGTGTATGCATGTGCATGCATCCAGCAGTTCCCCACAGGCCCTCAGCTGCACCATGAGGGCTGGGCCATGTCCTCCATAGATTCATAGATTCATAGATTAAGGGTCGGAAGGGACCTAGCAGATCTTCTAGCCCGACCCCCCGCCAGGGCGGGAGAACAACAAAAAACCCCAAAGGTTTTGTCCCCTTCAAAATCAGTGGGAATTATGCATGACCCCCACAAGGAGAAGTTTCTATTTGGCCAATGGACCCGTCCTCCCCCACCCCGAACAGCTCAGAGCCCCTCCATGCTCTGGACTTACCTCGGGATACTCCTTAGCATGGAAGCTTTTCCATCCTCTCCATCCATCTTCCAGGGCTGGGTCCAGAGCAAGAGCCCAGCCCAGCAGCGCCATGAGGAGCCCTGGGAGGACCAGCATGGCACAGGCTGTGGGTGGGGAGCGAGGAACACCCCAGTTAGCAGTGAATCGTGGCCGCTCCCGGCAGCCGGCAAGTTAATTTTGATGGATAAAAAGAGCCAGAGCAAAAGCGTTCGCGTGACCCCGTTACAGCGCAACATGAAAGCACTAAGCCTGGCTCAGGGTTTCTAGGACGGAGACATTGGCCTGCTGAGACCTGTGAAACAAATCCCCATTAAAACCCTCATTAAAGACAGCAAGGAAGAAAGAAATCCAGCGGAAGTGTTTGAAACGAAAAGCAAGGCTTTCATTTTAACAGCCTCTTTTCCTCCCGGTCCGTGTGGCTGGAGAAAGTTGGGTGGGGGGTGTTTTACATAAAACCCTTTGTTTCAACGGGGTTTATATAAAGGTCCCAGCTGCCTTTGAGATGCAGTTTCACTGTCCTTTTTACAGAGGGGGGGAAAGAGCTGAGATGGGCTGAAGATCCCACTCCCTTGAAGGCAAAACAGGAGGTGTGGTGCAGGAAGAGAGAGGGGGAAGAGCAGCCAGCGGAGCGCAGGCAGCGGCTGTTCCTGGAGCCGACTTTTCCACCCGACCCCGCTGCCCGAGAGAGGCAGGCGGCCATGCCAAGGCCTGGCAAAATATACCAGAATTGGGGCTTCAATTCTGCCCAGCTGCCTTCCCAGTCAGGGATTTAGAGGCTGGGGAAAACCAGATGACTTGTTCAGACTAAAGGCAAAAAAGGAGGAAATAGGGAAGGCAGGAAATAAGGCGGAGAAGGAAAAATTGGGTTTCAAGCAGGAGGCTGATGGCCAGAGCACAAGGCTCGAGTTGCGGACACCGCGCAGGACGCGGCTGCAGCTGGAGCAGGGCAGCGTCACTTGGGTCCTTCTCTTTAGCCCAGCATCTGCAGCCACCGAAGGCTCCCGGGAATCAGCTGGGGGCACTCAGTACCGTTTACAGCTGCCGGCTGATTTCCACTCAGAGACCAGCATTGCCCAGGCTCTTTTTTTGTACCTGTCTGGGCAGGAGACTTGCTGGGTAAAACCAAACTCCAGGTCAGCATTGGCTGGTGTTGCTGCTGCCTGTGCAAACTCACCAGATTGTCAGCTGGAGGGTGATCTCCTGGGCGTGGCTTCCCCCAGCTCCCCACCCAGGGTATTTAAATATTTATTTAGGAAGCAGCACAGCTGTGCTCTGAGGATTGGCTTTTGCCATGCTACTTCCCAGCCGCCATGAGCAAACAGTCACTGCAAGCAAGGGACAGCGTCTACTCGACTGGGTTTCTACCCAGACCGCACATGCTGCTAACGTTACAGCTACAGTCGGCCTAACGGAGGCAGCCACTAGCAGTACCTTTGCATGAGGACAAAAACCACCTTTATTACTTGGAAATGAGTCAGACTTCCTCTCTGCCGGGCAGAGACGTTACAACGTGCTGAAGGGACGCTCATCTTGGGCGTGCGCTGCATGCATCAGATAATTGCAATCATGGGGGGGGGGGGGG